TTACTCAATAAATAACGAAATAATTTATGTGCAAAATACTAACAGAAACTTTATAAATATTTATGAACGAAAATGAAGCAATTTCACACAACACCGCCACTGTTGCTGATCTCCGCCCATCGTAGGATTTACGATCCAACTTGGGGAAGGAATATAATACAGAACTTGGACCACAGCATTCACTTTACAACTTTTCACTCTTACGGCTATTTTTCCTCGTCGTTTTTATCCTTGACGTTTAAAATTATAAACTGAAACAAATCATGAAGTTTTATATATATATATATATATATATATATATATATATATATATATATATATATATTAAACTAGTAGTTTGTCACTATTATTCTATATATAAACTATTACTTTTTAACGTCTGGAACGATTAAGGTACGTTGGGGTAATACCGGACGGATTTTCGAATAGTTGGAAGAGTCTGCCAAAAACTTTAATTTCTCGACATTCGTATACGTCAGATTTATGGAACATGGAGCAAACCGTTAATCGTTAAACGTAGTTTAGCTCTGAGAATCTTTTGCTTGTGTAAACTCAACGGTTTCTGCTTTAAAGGTGTGCGAAAACTAGACATACTTTTTTATATGCATAATGAAAAATTGGCCATTAAGGGGTAAGACCGGACTTAAATTTAAAACCACTTCTACTGCTTAGAGAAAAAAGTTTAATAAAGAGATTTGTCCTATCTTTAACGCTCAAAAACATATTTCAATATGATCTATAAATTACTAGAAACATAAATGTTCCAAACGATTTTCTCTTTTTTTGTTTCTTGCCATCCGATCTTATCCCTGATATAAAGAAATTGTAATTTTATGTTTCTCAAACTTTGTTATGACATAAGATGGAATTACTCAATATAAGAGAAAGATCGGATGCATTTGATTTTATATGGGAAAAAAAATAACAGTAAGGACTGGCGAAATGCCCTGGGATAATGCAGGAGTTAAGGAAGATATAAATATTTTAACAAAGCGCATTTATTATTATAAATTATTTTTTAAATAATTATTATAAATTACATTTTGATTTGTAATAGAGGATAGATATAGATGTCTATGGGCCGCAGCAATCACTTAACATCAGGTGGACTGTGTGCTCCTTTGTCACCCTTATCCTATAAAAAAAATGTATTTTAATGTGTACTTAAAAGTAATAAAACCATCGTATTATTTTATTACTTTTAAATATACAGACTTGCTAACGAGACTGAGTACCATAGTCACTTGAGTAATCAACGAAAAAATATACACGACCAATGAAAGTTTAACAACCACTGCCATATTTGTAACAGGCAAAGATCGGATAATATTCATCCGATCTTCACTCACGAGGGGAAACATCGGATCTCGGCCTACAGCGATCTTACCCTTGCATGGACCAGCTTTATTTAGCTATAACTTCATAAAAATTAGTATCTACACAAAATAATAACAAAAGAAGCCATATACTCGCTAAAAATCGTAAATAAAAGTGATAGGGAAAGATCGGATGGACAAAAATAATACAAAAATTACATTGTTTTATAAAATGCCACGCAGCACAGGTCCCACTTGCCGGAGTGACTGGCGCGAACTGAGGGTCGGGGCAGGATGAAATGGCGTCGTGTAGCATATTGTTAGCTTTTCAAAATATAGCATAATTCGCCGGGAATTTGAATCCTACGGTCTTGCCCCATCACCGATCTTACCCCAACGTACCTTAATTAATTTCATATTCATACAATATATTTATTTTGTTGAGACGATGGTTTATAGCTATGCTAGTATCCGATAGATGGCACTGTAGTTAATTTATAAAAATTATAATAATGCCACATAACCACAATATGATAGATGTTCATGCCTTAATGGTATTAGAATAATGCTTTCAGCTCAATATATAAGGGTTATTTTAATATTACATACAGAACATTTTAATTTGTTTTTTATGTATATTATAAATGTTTATATTTAAACTATAACAATTCCGGAGTGAATTCGGATCGCGCCACCTACCGAAAAGAGCAGAACAACGTCTAAATATAGGAACTTTTTATTTAATATAGATTATAAATATTAATATATTTATAATCTATATTAAATAATTTATATATATTAATTTAATAATACTTCTGCTAGGTCACCTAGTATAATGAAAAAAAAAAAACTTTAACTTAAGCCGCTCACATAATGAATCCAACTTTTTCATACTTACGACGAATTATCAAAGTTTTTAACGTTAAAATTGTTGTTTATAATGATTAAATGAATTATGTAAAAAGTGTTGCAATGGAATTTGAGATTAAAATATTGTAATTTACACTTGTGGCTTGTGGTGCTATTGTTGCCGGCCCATTGCCACTTCAGCTTACTAATCCGTTGGGCTATGTCGGTCACTCTGGTTCTACTGCGGATATTCTAAGTTTATCACGCAGAGTAACTCCGAGTATAGCCCTCTCCATAACTCGCTGAGCGACTTTCAGCTTCCTCATCCGGCCAGCAGTGAAGGACCATGTCTCTGTTCCATAGATCATCACTGGCAACACGCACTGGTTGAACAATCTTGTTTTGAGGTATGTCTGACGAGAAGATATGTCGTTATTTTCCGAAAGCTGCCCAGCCGCGTTGAATCCGTGGATTTACCTCTCGGTCGAAGTTGGACTTACCTAGTCGGACTATTTGTCCCAGGTAAACATACTTGTCAACAACTTCGAGCTTAGTGCTCCCAACAAATACCGGCATAGGTGTGATATGGACGTTATACATGATCTTCGTTTCGTCTATGTTCATCTTAAGACCTATCCGTTGGGAGGCACTATTGAGGTCATTAAGCATAGTGTTTAGGTCCTCCAGCGATTCTACCATAAGGACATCTATATCGTCGGCAAATCGAAGGTGAGTGATGTACCCGCTGTTGATGTTAATACCGTATCCTTTCCAGTCCAGAAGCTTGAAAACGTCTTTCAATGCAGCGGTAAAGAGTTTCGGGGATATGACGTCACCCTGTCTTACACCTCTCTGCAATTGGATAGGTTTCGTACTCTGGTTCTATACTCGGATAGCCATCGTAGCCCTACTGTATAAGCACTTCAGCACTTCGATATACCGACAGTCAATTTGGCATCGCTGAAGGGACTGCAGCACCGCCCAAATTTTGACGGAATCAAAGGCTTTCTCATAGTCCACATACGCCAGACATAGTGGCAAATTGTACTCTTCGGACTTCTGTACAATTTGCCGAAGGGTATGTATGTGGTCTATGGTGCTAAAGCCCTTTCGGAAACCGGCTTGTTCGGGAGGCTGGTCATCAAGTCTGCGCGCGAGACGATTCGTAATGACTCTCGAAAACAGCACGTAGACGCGGCTCGCGGGGCACACGGGAAATCGGTCTGTAATTCTTCAAGAGAGCGTTGTCACCTTTCTTGAAGAACAAGACCAACGCACACCTGCTTCACGCCTCCGGTGTAATGCCACCACGGAGGACAGAATTAAAGAGCTTCTGAAGGACTTCAAGTACCGGTCTTCCACCCGCTTTCAGAAGCTCCGCTGTGATTCCATCCTCGCCTGGGGCCTTGCCGTTTTTAAGGTGCTGGAGAGCCATTCTAATTTCGCTCAGACTGACGTCCGGGATATCATAGGAATAGTGTCGGATAAGACTTGCTCTTGGATCGTTACTCACACTTACATGTGGCTCCAACGATGATATGTATGTACATCGGCCCATAGAACCCCTCAATCTCATTCAAATTCTCAGGTGTCTCGGAAACGATGCTGCCACACTCGGTTTTCAGCTTCGACAGTTGGCTTTTTCTGTCAGACAGATATCTAGCAAATACTTTGGGGCCCTATTTCCGCTCGATCGCTTTTTCAATACGAGCAATATTAAAGTTGCGTAAGTTCCGCCGCATGCATTTTGAGTTCTGTCTGTTCATTTGCCTGTATGCTGTCAAATATACTGAAGACTGCAGCATCATTTACCATTTAACAGCCATGAGATTAAGAGTGTGATCGAAGAGTTTTTGTTTTCTTCTGCGGCGGGTCTTGAAAAACTTAGCTCCGACCGCATGGACAGTTTCGACGAGCTTGTCGTTGCCACGCTTGGCGAGCGGGTTGGCTACCGCAGTTTTGTAATTGTTGTTTTGCTGTTATCAGAAAGATACTGCTACCCATCTTCTGCCTCAGTTTCCCTCTGTCGCCACGACACCCACGGGAAGATATGGGGTAATAGGTATTCTTACCCGCCACTACACGGGTTATTTTTTTTTTTTTTCATTTATTTAAAGAACCACAAACAGATTCACAATTAAATATATATATATATATATATAAAATATCAAAACAAAGAAACCTAATTATCATTATGAATCCAACAGCGCTGGTCTCATTATACATATAATCTAGTGTTAAAGTGGAGCTCATTTTACATTATAACAAGTGTTAGTTAACTAACTAAGTAACTGCTAAGTCAATCTGTATGTGTACAGTGTATCCCTATTACAACCGACTTTAAAAAATGGAGGAGGTTTTGAATTCGACTGTATGTATTTTTTAGGTGTGTTACCTCATAACATTTAATAGCTGGTACTTCACATGTAGTTTCATATAAATTTGATCAAGGACTAACCAATAGCTTTTGAGTTATTCTTAATAATTTATATTATATCTTATATATCTTATATTATAATTATATCTTATTTACTTTACCATTTATCTGTATTGAAAAGAAAATTATGCTATTCTATTCTTTTCTATATAGACGCATATAAATATATCCATAACCCTTTTTACAATGATGGAAGTCTTTAGCAAGGCAGTGGTTTGTATACAGGCTGAAACTTTTTTATAATTAAGATGTAACCATATCTTAATTATAAAAAAGTTTCAGCCTGTATACAAGCCACCGCAATCTATCGGAGTTTATGAGATATTATGGGTAATATCTCAAGCAAAGGGAAGGGAAAAAGCTATGATGTGATGAAAAAGTAAAAGATCAACGTTTTTGAATTAATTTATTAATATACAATAAACCTTTTTCATAATTAAATTATGGCATCACAGTTGGACAATATACATGTACATATATAGCTTCTAATTTGACATGATTTACAACTGACATACATAGTGTTTGTAATTATATTGTACTGGCTGCGAGCGGAGTAATGAATTGAAATTGCGACATGAAATCTTAGTAACTCAGTTCGAGGGACGTCAGAAATTGCTCCCATCCCAAAGTTAGAGTTAATTGAGAGGACTACCATTTCACCAACGAGATTGATTTTCATTTTAGATACATGAGTATCTGCCTTATGAGTAGGCCGAATATATTAGAGATGATGAAATGAAATGATAGGTGTATTAATTCATTTCGTAGTGGCGAAGGCTTTTTCTTGGCGAAAAACATTTTACCATGACCTTTTAAAAAGTTAAAATAAAAACTGATTTTAGGGTGGTGTTCTAAAAAAAATTTCCTACATAGAGAGTGTTCGTGAAATAAAGAAATCTACATTCAGGCGATCAAAATAACATTACTCTTAGCCCAAAAACAATAAGTGTAAAAATAAACCTGTTAGAACTTCAATAGAACTTGAACTCGATTGATAATATTATAACATCCAAAAAATACAACGTTGTTTTACAAAATTTTGTATTTTAATATTGAATTTATATTATATAAAACTAAATTATGTGTGTGTGTGCACCTAACCGAGAGCGATACTCTTCTTTTTCCTTTTTTTACGTTTTTTCCTTAGCGTGCAGTTTCTTTTAGGCCAGTATGTTTACACAGCAAATTGAAAAAAATAATTTGCAGTCGTAAGCGGTAACAGCCGCTGCTGCTCGTACACCGCCGACGTCCATGTTGAACGGTCAAACATTGGAACAGCTGCTGCGCGCGCTATGCGTGCTTAGTTGATACACTTCGAACATTTTGAACGCGGTCCGCGCGCGGTATTCATGGCGCGCGCGCCATGAGCGCGTAATCGATACGCGGCTTTAAGTACTTTGTGTTTTTAAATAAAATCTATAATATAATATAAAGCTTAAGTACAATTATGTCTCAGATATTATTTAGAATATTTCAAGTTTAAAAGATGTTAAAACTAATAATACGCTAAGAGTCGTCGTATCGTTTTCGTTTGATTTGTTAGAATCGTGATAAATAAAAAAGGATTGAATAATAAGACGCATCATTTTTATTTTTAACGCGAATCTTAGCTAATTTTAGCATCAGATTTCATCAGATTCATCAGATTACCGCCTGATTCTAATAAAAATATTTCAAGTACCATTAGGCCTCTTTACTACTAGTAGCATAATGTTGACTACAATATTTTTTTAAAAGGAGAAGGCAAACGATCATACGGCACAACTGATTGTAAGTGCCATTTGCGGCCTTTTAAAAAATAATAGGCTCTTTTCTTAATCTACAATATTACTTAATTTAAAAATCGGCTTTAGCACATCAATGCTGCGGTTTTCCGAATATAGATTGTGCATATTTTCCGAAATATTGCACCGCTTGGTAAGATGGCGCCACCGCCGCATGTTCACCTTTATAACCAGCGTTAACCTTAGGTGAGTACTGGACTTGGGGCTGGAGTTGTTGGTACACCGGAGCCTGAACTTGAGGTTGGAGCACCTGAGGTTGAACTTGATGTTGAGGACCTTGTCTGAAGTAAGACAGTTGTCTTGCTTGACCGGCGTTTCCTTGTGAGACGATGTTCGCCGCCTCTCGCGTAGGAGCGTATTGTTGGATCTGCTGTACACTCTGTTGATGGAAGGGATGATGTATGATGGATGGGTTGACCTGGTTGTGGGAGAAACTCGCGAAGCTTACTGGGGATTGAGGCTGTGATTGATAGTTCTGGAAAAGAATCACAAACTTTATTAAAACTTATAAAAGTTACAAACATATTGTAGCACTGATTCCTAAGCTAGAATTAATAGTGTATGTTAGGATATCAGTTCATATACACTTTTACCTTCATATACAATCTTACAATATCAAATACGCAAAGTTTTCATAATACCTACTGTTTTTTTTTTTTGGAATGAAGTTCATTATCGCACGGTGCGAATTTGGCGGATCGGGGCTAGGCGAGAAAAAGTGTAAGATTTTTCCGTCACGACCAATCGATCACTAATAAAAAATTAGTGATCGATAATAACGACCCCTTTTCGCGAAGAAAAAGTGCGAGCGAGATGGATATTATTCCATCTCGCTCGCACTTTTTCTTATCCTGCCATGAAAGAAATATTATTTTAAACCACGTTAATTTTAATAGACGCTAGTAATTAATTTATTTGTAATTGTTAATCAATAATATAATACGTTTATCAATAATAATATACTACGAAAGGAGCTTCGTTCCAACCGAGTGTTCCACGACACTCAGGCATGATTTTTTTAAATAATACTATAACTTATGTAAATAAAATGAAAAAGAATGCAGTAGAATTAATTGAATTACTGTCATCACTACAGAAATATAAAATTTACATTCGTCTTTCGAGTGCAAAAAGTAATGAAAGAATGATTGAAAAAATGTTAGAGCGTCTATATTAACATTTTGATTAGACAATTATAATATATATTTTTGAAGTTAACGCTTCTTTAAGCTGAGAACAAACTATCGGACGCGTCCGTCAGCCGTGGCTGACAGACGCGGCTTATTAAAATCTAGCCAGTACATTTAATACTATTAAGCTGAGAACAAACTATCGGACGCGTCCGTCAGCCGCGGCTGACAGACGCGGCTTATTTGAATCTAGCCAGTACATTTAATACTACACTGTGCAAACTATCGGTCGTAAGACGCGGACGTGCTCTTGGGTCGTCCTTGAGCGTTCAGACGTCCGAACAGAATCTAGCCGGCTGGATATTTGTGGGTCCGCGGACGGTGTGCACAGGGCACGGGACGCGTCCGCGGACGTTTCGAGTGTCAAAAACGAACCGACCGCGCTCGCGACATGTCAGACGAAGAAAATTTAATTTAATGTGTTCGTAACCACGAATGCCTATATAACTACAAACTGCAGCACTATAAAAATGCTACTTTAAAACAGGAAGTGAGGGAGCAAATTGTTGCTGAAGTAAACATCATTTTCAATCAGACTAAGCAGAAAATTAAATTGGTTTTCATTCATTCTTAAATACATTATGTAACGTCTATCATCTTTTTGTAAGTCTGGATACAATGTATGAAATTCACCATACTCGAGTTGTTTTACATTAATATCATGGACCCAAACACTCTTTTTCCTTTTTTTTGGAGGTCAACATAATGCAGCTGCCGCTAACTCTATAAATTCGTCCTCGCTGTCGCTGCTTGTCATGTTTCTCGATTGAAACACCTTTATAGAATGACTGAAGTGAGGCGTCCGAGGACGCCGTCTCGACTACCATGCACACCGCTAAGCCGCGTCAGTCAGCCGCGGCTGACGGACACGTCCGATAGTTTGTTCTCAGCTTTAGATTCGTTATGATTTGAAACCCGATGAAACGAAAAAGCGACATTAAAAAGAGACAAACATATACATCTAGAGGATTTAGTCTGCGAGAGAATGAGTCTATTGTCACAGAATAAATAAGTACAGAAGTTGCACTCTTTTGATGTTGACTGCTTGGCGACGTTTTAATAGCCTACATAGTTATTATTAATCAGATAAATCACGCACGCAAGCTAAATAAAACTTTATCGCTGCGCGCGAGCGTCCGTATTACTTTGCTTCTTTTCTCCTTACTACGTCACAACGGACTTTCCGTGGTTGCTAAGGGCTGTTAATAAAGAGTAAAAAAATACATTGTGAAATGGTAAGTTACTTAGGCAAAGTACCTATGCTGACTATAATCGAGCATATTATTTACTATGTGAATTCTGTGATGCCCAACGGATGCAACTTCCAAGGCCATTCGTCGGATATCGCGATGCTTGGTTCGTATGGGTAGATAGCGTAAACAACAAATAAACCCGAAATACGATTCCTAACAGAAATATGATCATAATTTACATAGTTTAAAGTCTTGCAAACAAAGTTTTAATTTCAGTATTTTGTGCTATTATAACTTAAAATATTTTAATAACAAAGACGAGTATAGGTATGTAAGTAGGTACTTGGATAGTTAAATAAATTTCAACTAAGTTTTGTAATAAAATACTTAGGTATTACTTCTGTAGTTAAATTATTACTTAATTATTTTCCCTATAAATACCTATCTAACAAAAAAAAAATACCTTTCATTATCCTTCGGTAACTTAAACAATGATATATTATCTGAATCCTTTTAATTGCTCATTAAGTATTATATATATATATCCATCCCATAGTAGGAACGACGCTTTGCTATTATAGTTTATCAAATAGATTGATAATAATATACATATATATTATTCTTAAATTACATTAAAACTTTTTGAACTATTTTATCCTACAATTAAATATACTAAACACTAAATAAAAACTATTTCGACGAGTATTTCAATAAGTATTTACAAAAAATTATTTACCTAAACAGCGTTAAAAAACTTTAACATTCAATCGTATAGAGCGCGCTAGCCCCGACTGCGATCTACCCCTGGGGCAGCTCGCGATTGTAGATTATTGTCTCCTTTTCTGAACTAAAAAGTACTCTGTGTTCTGAACATTTCACTTTTATCGCGTGTGAACTGCACACATGTTTTTGTTTTACATAATAATATAATGTGTGCATTACATAATTAATTTTAATTTATACAACATTTATTACCATATTAAAAAGACACGGAAGAGAAAATATCTAGTACCACGTATTTTTAATGAGATATTGTCTGAAGACGAATGTGGTAATAAAGAAATATTTGAAAGGAAGTTGAAAGCGTGGTTGCTATACGATAATACTGTCTAAATTAAAAATAATAAGTTTTAATTGATATTTCCATGTGTAAATTTAAAGATAATGAAGTATGCATTGAGTTATATGTACTACGTACTAGAGAAGCCTTTTTAAACAAAAAATGTGCACTACTCTATGTCTTCGCGCATGCGCAGTTGATTTAAGCGCGTTGCGCCTGCGCGGTTAGTTTTTAATTTAAACTTTAAATTGAAATCTTGTATTATTAGCGCCGCTCCACACCGCATGAATATTGAAACCACAGACTTACTAGTAGATTGAAACCACTCTAAATGACACACTGTACGGATTGCAGTACAGTTCAGTTGAACATAGTGTATGTTCAGAATGTGCAATCTAGTACGTAGTACATATATATCGATGGAAAATTATATATTATTAAATAACAGTACTAAGCTTAAACTTTATTTTTCTATTTTAGATTAGGATATTAATTACAATAGGTATATAGATATAGAATTTAAGTGGGTGATGTATTCGCAATCACAGTATTTCGCCTAACTGCTTTGCAGTTAAACGAAAGTAGTATAAGAATCAATTGACTGTATTTTTATGATACATAAAAAAAATTAAAAAAAAACAAAAACTAAAAACTTTATTTTAGGTTTATATAATTAGAAATACCATTCCCGTTACACTGCCAATCTAAATAAATGGCAGGCTTAGAGAATCCGTTACACCATTTCGGCCCATAAGTGTGGCCCATAAGAGGCGACTATAGAAAGTGTTAGTAAGATCGTATAGTTTCCGCTAGATGGCGGTATAACTATTTCGTGTACGTCAGGCGTAATATAATCCGCTTGACGGACAATAGCGTTAAAGGTACGAGGCTTTTGGAACTGCAATCGTCAATGCGCCTACCGTGAGGACTATGGCAAATACTTAAAACGGGAGAAATTCAGATTCAGCGCTGGAGTTTTATGGGATGAAGAAAAAGTAATGTTAAGAAGAAGAAAGAAGAAGAACAGATAAAACGGTACAGTCAAATCTGAAAGTATGTAACAGATATGTGTCCAGTGTTCAATTTTACCTTAGCATAATACAGACAGATATTTTTACGTGGTAGACGTACGCACGTCGTTGAGTCACTCTGCGGCTATATTATGGTTATAACAAGAACAGGCCGGTTCGACCGGAGAAGGCCCAAGACTGGAGACTCTTTTAGCTGGATATGAGTCATCCCATCTTAGTCCTCAGGGGTGATAACGCATCTGAATTTTGATTCCTAATCGAGGATATATGTAGATACCTATGGGCCATAACATCCACTTGCCATCAGGTGTGTGTACTCGCTTGGAACCCTTATACTATATAGAATATAACATCAATTTTAAGTACCTGTGCTACAAACTGTGGCTTCTCGAATACTCGGTTCTGTTCTGGCTGATTGTATACCTTTTGTTGGGTTTCTTCAATATTTTGGACTGGTTGATCCTGTACGTATGCTTGCTGCTGGTACTGCTGTTGTCCCTCTGTGTAATATGCTTGAGGTGCCTGGTTATACTGATTTGAAAGAAGGCTTTGTTGATTATCTGAGTAGATTGTGTTTGGCGCTTTTTGATAGTGCGCTGCCTGGAAGGTTTGTTGGTTTTCCAGTTGTTTCAGTTGCTGTGCTGAATATTGCACAGGTTGTACTTGGTTGTAAGTAATAGGCTGGGTCTGATAGTTTGCTTGAGGAGCTTGTTCGTATATCTGTTGTATTTGTTCTTGGTTGTAAATTTGTTGAGGCTGCTCCAATATCTGCTGTTGCGAATAATCCAGCTGTGTGGATGCTTTTTGGTTGTAGACTTGCGGTGCGAACTGTAAGGAATTCGGCTGCTGGTAAGCCAGTCTGTGCTCGCTGTAGGCTAGTTGCGATGGTACCGGCGCCGACACTTCGTACGTGGTTGGTGATCCAGACTGAAAAGAGATGAAAGTTACTATGTGTTCGTAATACTTCTGTATGAATTTTCCGTTGCCATTCAACGACGGCACGACTTTTTCTGCCACCAGGGCTGCGCCACATAAGAATGACGTAAAACATTTGACAGATTGAACATAGCGGAGGAAGTTAATTTTTTAGAATACTGTAGAAACTACGGATACACCTAAAAATAGAAGAATTAAAAAACTGTTTAAAATTTATACTGCACTGAGGCATTGTTTGAGTATATTTGTTATAGTCAAAACTCATAACTGGTCAAAACCACTTTAGACTGTAAAAAATCAGACAAAAGTAGTTTTGACTGAGGCCGTCGGTTAAATCTCCTTTTAACTGCAAAGATACTGGGTAACAGTGATTTTGACCAAATTACTTCATCGTGGTTTTAACCAACAATGTTAGTCAAAAGTTCTTTTGACTTATACTTTTAGAATTACTGAAATTAAAAAAGTTCAAATTCTTCAATATTATATTTATATCATTATAACCCCTATTATAACTAATCTTAACCTACTGTTATTGATATTGTGAGTTTTGACCGATAGTCTGAAGTTTGAATCAGGCAACACCACTTTTGACTAAGAACGTTGGTTAAAACCACTTTTAACTACAAAAATCTGTCAATACTGTTTTTGACTAAGGGCATCGGTCATAACCTGATTTTTGCAGTCAAAAGTGGTTTTGACAGTTATGAGTTATGATTGTGACACATATATATATATATATATATATATGTGTCACAATCATAACTTGTGTATATATATATATATATATATATATATATATATATACACAAGAAACCGTAAAACTTATTTTAAATCGCAACTTTTCAATGATGATGACATTGTGTGATCATCTGCGTAACAAATAAGTCCACTTTAGTCCCAACTAGCGACATCTGGTAAGCGTTTCATTATTAGATTTTCGTTCGTAGGTTTGACGAACAGCTTGCAGAATTATGGAGAAATACTGGATATAAACTTCCTTACGTCCCGCTCGCTCTGCTCCGCTCGACCATCTTCTCAAAAGTGAGATTTTTTTAAGGCAGTTGTATTACTAAAAATTTACACTGGTACAGGTGTGGCAGCTCAGGGTCTAATAGATTGCCTTACATCACTACAATATACATACAATAATAATAATGTCTTCCAGAACGAATGACGGTCACGGCGTCTAGTCTCAATGGAGACTAGTGTAGTTAGATTATAATGCCCAGGTGTGTGTGCAAGGATAGATCTAATGGGACGATAACCGACACGACCGGAGAAGAGATCAGGCGCAGGACCAAAGGCTTTATGTGCTTTCCGAGGCATGGAGGTGAACCACCACCAACTTCTTGACTTCGGGCTGCCACTGAAAATTTCTTGACAGGAAAACCCAATAACTGATTTCCCCCTGACTCGGGATTCGAACCCGGGATACTAGAACAACAAGGCAGTCAACAACAAGACAGAAGAATATAATATTTTGGGGGTTATACTAAGGAAGTTTATAGAAGTAACTTTTATTTTACTGTACTTGAAAATATAACTTACTCGAGGCTGGTATGCTGAAATTGGAGCATAAAGTTGGTTGGCGATGGCAGCTTGGAAGGATGGACTCTGGCTCGCCAGCAGGTCTGATATCTTTGCCACCTGAGGCACTGGCGTGGCGTATATTAGCTGTGAGTAAAATGTTTAATGTTATTATTGTTATTATTACAGATTAACAAGTAACAATCCAACAAATGAGGAATCGCTTTCAAGCTATTTCTAATTTGTTTTGTTTAGTTAATTGTGTAACATAATATAATACGATTGCAAACTGTTCTATTTTCAAAAAAAAAGTTTCGTTTGATTTCTTGTTGGTTACATGACATTATTTATAATCTATACTGAATAAAAAAAGTTTTTATCTGTATTTCTAATTTTAGGCTGTTTATGTGCTTTCGTATTCATTTTAATATTTCATTGTATTTTTATTATTCCAGTTTAACATAAAGGGAGGTCGCAGCGTCGCAGTCGTGTGGAATGAATTGGTTCACGCGACCGAGAAAGCACTAGCTGGCACAGATTATCAGGGTGTAGCAATAGCTTATCAGATATAATGCTGCTAGTGGCTCTTTATATTCGTATCTTCTACTAAGTTAAAGAACTTCTTTAGTGCTTATGTGTCGTAGGCATATCGTTGGTAATTATTACCTTTTCGACCGGTGTACCTATTTCTGCCGCCAAAAAAGACAGCCAGTAAAATTATCAGGTTGTTAGACATTCCGTTTTACGTGGTAGAGCCATGCTGCAGATATATTATGGTTGTAGCACGAGTTAGGACCACGCTCTAACAGAATACCAGCGTAAAATAGCAACTGTGTCGTATGGTAAGTGACGACAGCATTCCCTTTTCAAAGAAACGAAAACAGAAACAGAAACTTTTTTATTCAATATGGGTTATAAATAATACTTATTGAAAGTCACTATTTTATTTAGTTTGTCTGTTTCAGAAAAAAAACCTCTGTCCTGGACAGAACCAGAAAGAAACCCAGCGGGACTTTTAAAAATAACAGCTTTCAATCATGTATGTTACACAATTAACCACGCAAAACAAGTTAGAAATAGATTGGTAGCGAACACCTCATTCACAGGGGTTATTATCATCCATAAATTCCTTAATATTACAATAACCTATGGTAAGTGACGATAGCTGGAGACCCTTTTCAAGGAAACGGTGAATTTCATCATAGACTTCAGAGTGACAACGCATCTGCATTTCGATTCTATATTGCGGAGTAGGTATCTTTAAACCATAGCATCCACTTACCATCAGTATGTGTGCGCGTTTGTCACCCTGATGGTAAGTGGTTGCTGTGACCCATGGACGCCTACATTTATCCTCAATAAAGAATCAAAATGCAGATGCGTCGTTACCCGTGAGGACTAAGATGGAATGCCTATTTTCCAGTAAAATAGGTCTCCGGTTCTCTACACTCATCATAAGAAACACAGCAGTGTAAAGCTGTAATTTTACGCGGGTATTCTGTGAGAGCGTGGTCCTTCCCTGGTCGAGCCGACCCATTCGTGCTACAACTATACTACTAATATAGCTGCAGCATGGCTCTACCACGTATAATAAGCTTTATGACAATGTCACGACCGTGTAGCGGCGGTTTAAAAATATTTACTACTGTGGTGTAGGTAACAGGCGACAAAGGGAGGAAGACAGAAAAAGAACAGCAGTGTCTTTCTAATAACTACTAAAAAATATGCCAACATAGCGCTCAAAAATATATTTAAACGTATATCATCGTTAAGTCCCTAGAATCCCAATTAGCGTTAGAAATGCAAATGAGGGAAGCTGCATTTTATAGTTTAATATACACTTTAGACACAAAAGTTGAGAGAGCTAACTAAAGAGAACGCAATGGAAATAATGTTCTGGTAACCACTAAGTATACGTTCAAAGCCGTTCTTATTAAAACAAAGAAAATAGAACAATCGAAACGAAAGCATGAACATTTCTACTTTGCGGATAAATGAATGAGTTGCGTAACGAGCTGGCCGGTTCCGGACTCGTCCGACCGGTGATTTTTATTTTCTTTGAATATACGTAATGAAGAGAGGATTACAATCTAAAGTAATCGCAACAATGTAGTGTTAAATACAATTAATGATATTCACGCGAACATTACACATTGAATACAACTATTTTTACGGATTATGTCACGTTTAATTTTACTTATTTTTAATTACCTACGTTTGGTCCCAGTGATTGCGGGGTTCCTGTATAGACTACGCTTTGTCACGGGAGAATTGAGATGATTGACATCCCGATGTCAAGATTAACCCGGAGTAACTTCAGCTTTCTTAATTATTACTTTTGGTCCGATCTACGCAGCAATGAGCTTACCGTGTCTTGAAGTCTATACAAATTAGAATGTTTTTTAATTTCAACAGCCTCACGTACTATTCTTGGTTCTTTGTCGATGTTCTTTCGTGCAGATATGTGGTCTATCAAATTTGATGTAAAGGCGGGAGCCATCTAGGATATTATCACAAACCGCAGACTTCCTGGAGCGTTGGTGTTTCACATCAGCTATAACCTTTACGCGGGTTTTTATTGATATTTTTTTTTGCCCTATATAACAAAGGCCACATTCATAATCAAGCTAGTACACTCTTGCATCTAAATAAGTTTTCTGTAAGACAACTCTCTAGCGTTGATAAATCCCTACAGGTTTGCATGTTAGTATTGTATTGTAATGTAACATAAATGTGTTTAATATATAAATAAAACAGGAATGTAGTTTATAGGATAAGGTATCATTAAAATTTCACGTCAATAAACCGATCTTCATCACCACAGTTGCAGCCTATCAAAAGTCCACCTCTAAACATTGGCTTCTCCTATAGATTGCGACAAAGTGTAATCCTAAGTCTTTTTTTATAGGATAGGGTGACAAACGAGCACACAGTCCATCTGATGGTAAGTGGTTGATATGGCACATAGACATCTACATTTATCCACGTTTGCGAATCAAAATGCAGATGCGTCCTCACCCGTGAGGACTAAGATGGAATGTCTCTTTTCCAGTAAAATGGATCTCCGGTGCTCTACACTCACCATACGAAATACAGCAGTGTTAAGCTGCAGCATGACTACCACGTATGATATATATATATATATAAGTCACATGCATATATCAACAACCTGCGTCACTCCATCAACTCTCTATCAAGTCTCCGCTATTTTATTGAAGACATACCACGCTTCGTCGTTCGTAGTACTGTCAGCATTTTGCCAATAGCGTCTTTTCATCCGATTAAAATGTCTTCATGGCATACGATTTTGTTAAGTTAAATCATCTCCTTACCGAGTACAAGGCTCCATCACCAATCACCATAAAGTGGGATAATCAAGGACTGGCTTAAAATTATTAAAAAAATATGGATAAAATTTGTTTTGAATTGCAAATAAAAAATTATTCACTTCTCGCTCAGAAACAATATTAAAAGCGTTGGAATAATTCAGCAATGTTTGCCGTAAGGAATACTCGCATAACGCATAAGCTGGAAGATCTCGTAACTTTTAAAATCTTGCGATTTAAAATTCAAATATCATGAGAATAGTGCATTATATGAATAAGTTTGTGACGAAAAGCGCTGAGAATAAAGGAGTAAAATGAATTTTATCGCGATACAGATATAAAATATTGAAACACGTTGGGCGATTTAATAATTTGAAAATAGAATTTTCGTTTTTTAAATTATTATACGCGCTTGTCCAAGATTTTGAAGAAGAGAAACTAAGGCCCGTATTAATAAACTATGTTTATTAATACGAACGCACACGCAATACGTACAATCTTGAGGTTATGATCTTATTAATAAATATATCTCAAGATGCGGTTTAGGTTTACGATATCAGCTGAGTGCCACACTGATTAATAAACGAAACTCGATTCTCAAGTGTGTGTACTTGAGTGCAAGTCACAGAACGGTATTCCTAAGTACAGCGTTATGAGATACTGTTTTTATGTGTTCATTAATTAGCAACGATCTAGAGATGCTGATATCGTAATGAGGGCGTATCAAATGATTACGCACTTGAGTTCGTCGTCGTTGAGTAACGTTTATTAATACGGGCATAAGGTTGACAATGAGCACAAAGTCATCTCATAGTAAGTGGATGCTAAAGCGAACGGACAGCATATTAATACAAAGCGTAAAGAGCGATGTTAATTTTTGAGGATATATCAAAACTAGCAAGCAGACTTAGTTCTGCAGCATATGCTTTAAAAAAGATTAGAAGTCTAACCAGTGTTGAAACAGCTAGACTAGTTTACTTTAGCTATTTCCATAGCATAATGTCGTATGGTATTTTGCTATGGGGGCACGCAGCTGAAACTGAAATTATGTTTGTTTTACAGAAGAGGGCCATAAGAGCAAATTATGATTTAAAGCCTAAAGAGTCGCTGCGACAAAAATTTAAGGAAATTAATATATTAACTTTGGCCTCTCAATACATTTATGAAAATGTAATGTACGTACACAAAAATAAAAGTAGTTTTACAAAAATAAGTGATATTCATTCTGTAAATATTAGGAATAAACACAAGCTAGTAGTACCAGTTACTCGACTTCATCGAGTCAGTAATCCATTCTTGGGGCGATGTATACGTTTTTACAACAAAATTCCAGAAAATATATATAATTTGACCTGCTCAAAGTTCAATAACTTTATTAAACTAAGTTTGTATAAAAAGGGTTATTATAATATTAAAGAATTTATGGATGATAATAGCCCCTGGAAATGAGGTGATCGCTACCAAGCTATTTCTAATTTGCTGTGTTGTTAATTTGTGTAACGTACACGATTGTAAGCTGTTATTAAAAAAGTCCCGCTGGGTTTCTTGCTGGTTCTTCACAGGACAGAGGTTATTTTTCCGAACCAGTGGTAATTAAACAAAAGAGTGACTTTCAATAAGTATTATTTATAATCTATATTGAATAAAAAAGTTTCTGTTTCTGTTTCTGATGAAATACCTTGAAGCCTGTAATTAAACTCGCTCCTCCTACTAAGTAAGTAAGAAGGTGGCACCAACATAGTAGGACTCCTTTTTTACTGACTACTCCAGAAGGAAGAGTTATTGGATTGTATGTATGCACTCGTATGTCTGTTTCATTGG